AGAGAGAGAGAGAGAGAGAGAGAGAGAGAGAGACAGAGAGAGAGAGAGAGAGAGAGAGAGAGAGAGAGAGAGATCTTGGACAATTTCGACTGTAATTATAATGATAATATACCCTGTCTCTGCGACAGAACTTAACAGCAAACATGCTTCCCTATTAAAATTTATGTTCATTATATCATTGTTTATCTCACCATAAACAGAACTTAACAGCAAACATGCATCCCTATTTATTATGTTTATTATACTATTGTTTCTTTCACCATAAACAGAATTTAACAGCAAATATGCATCCCTATAATTAATTATGTTCATTATTATAGTTTATCTTGCCCTAAACAGAATTTCACAGCAAATAAGCGTCCATATCATTTATGTTTGTTATATTATTATTTTTATCTCATGCTAAACAGAACTTAACACAGCAAGCATGCATCCGTTTGTATCTATCTATGTTCGTTATATTATCGTACCTAAACAACAAGCACACATGTACATCCTATCTATCTTTTTTTGTAATTTTAAAAAAAACTGCTGTCCTTTCATGTATATATGTCACAATGCGGTGGAATCAGGCACTCATGAATTTCTGGGCTTGTGGAGTTATTGGTATCATTTTAAAACTTGTTCATTTATTTTGCTTGTGATGAAAAAAATGCTCATCTATCTGGAGCAGAAGTGAAGATATTTGTGATTGAAAGAGGTAAGGTCGCGTGGTTTCAGGGGTAAAAATAGTGAGAAAATGGCCGCCAAAGTTTAGTAACTCCAATAGCTAAAGAGTCCTTGAAAAGTGGGAAGTTATATATTTTGTGCCTTTAATCAACGTTTTTCAATAAAATTCAAATGGAAATGTGTTTTTATTTGGACATAAAAGGGTTGAACAAAATGACAAAAATTTGATAAAAATTGCCAAACTGGTGGGAAAACGCCTGTTTCTCCAATTTTATTATTTTGACGAGCACCTGATTTCACCACAATGCCTCACATTTGTGAGGCGCGCTGACAAAATGAGTGACTTCTCGCAGTCCACAAATGGAGAATTTGGCCAAAAATTGACACTAGGGGCAAATTTGTAGATTTTCTATTGATGCCATATTCTTTAAGTATAACAAACCTTTTATTTCATACTTCTAAATTGTAAAAACTTCACCTATAAGTGTGATGTATCTATTTCCTGAAGGCCTGAATCCGAGAAGTAACTCATTTTGTCAGCACGTTTCTAATATAATACATGAAGTTAATGTATGGCTTTGAAAGTTTTTCTTTATGTGGTTGAACTGGTTTTTCTTGTTTCTGTGAAATATTGTTTCTTGTGTGAATGATTACGTGATTGTTGTAAAGCGCTCAGAGCTTATACTAGTACGGGATAGAGGGCTTTTTAAATGCAATCTATTGTTATTAATTTATTATTATCTATAATTTATGTCCATTACTTTGTTTCTCCCAATCCATACAGAACTACTACTCTCCGGGCGGTGCTACTGACTGAAGTGTCTTTAGGCCATTCCCAAAGGGGGGACATTAACCTGTTCTTATGCACAGTAGAATTGTAATTGTAAATGGGCTGATTCATCAATGTCATGCTCATAACTGTGCCTGAACTTCAAAAGGGAACTGCTGTTTTTTCTTTGCTAATCCTTACTGTCGTAATTTTTCCTCTACTTCCTTTGTATGTTTGTCACTCTCTTGTGAACTTTTATTTCTGGGTGCCTTGATAGATGAAGCAGACTTTGTGCTGTTGGAGCTAGAGAGGTGAGCAGAGTAAGTCTGATTCCCTGTAAGGACTTCTCTGTTGACATCCACCCCTTTGCGCTCATATGACCTTATGCAGTTGCGAGCGCAGTAAAACCTCTACTAAAACATAGCACACAGAACTATATCTATCACACTCACACCCTTAGCCTATCTATCTATCTGTCTATCCATCTATCCATCCTTCCATTCATACATCCAATTCTGTCTTCCTTTGACAGAACTACACAGCATACATCCGCCCTGCTTGCCTTCCCTCACAAGGGCGACAAATCACACACCTAGTATAGTGTGTGTGTGTGTGTGTGTGTGTGTGTGTGTGTGTGTGTGTGTGTGTGTG